GCCGCATTTGCTGCTGCTCTCGCCACAGCAGCCGCTGACGTGACCTAAAAGCTAAGGTGTCAGCCAAGTGGCTTGGGTCGAGGTCTGTGACCTCTTGGCTTAGAGCAGTGTTTAGGGGTAGGCGGGGGTGGTGGTGGGGCGGCTAGTCCTCAGGACTCACCCTGTGCTGGGGTACAGGCTTCCAGGCCCTGGTGGTGACAGCCCTGCTGGTGGGCCTGGGGGTGTCGGCTGGGCTGCCCCTGGGAATGCTCACGGAAATGCTCCTGCCCTTGGCGTGGGTGGCCACCCTCACGGCCTTCATCTTCAGCCTCCTCCTCTATCTGAAGGCGCTAATGGCCCCAGCCTCCGCCCTGGCACCCGGAGGGAACTCAGGTGAGAGGGGCTCCAGTGGGGACAGATGGAGGCGGACAGGGGTGCTAGCTTGCAGCCTCACTCTCCATTGTTCTCCAGGCAATCCCCTTTACGACTTTTTCTTGGGACGGGAGCTCAACCCGCGCTTCGGTTCCTTTGACTGCAAATACTTCTGCGAACTGCGGCCTGGCCTCATCGGCTGGGTATGCTGGGCATGGCTCAGTGGGACTTGCGCCAGCAGGAGGGGTGGGGCGGGTGAGCAGTTCCTGGGCAGGACAGGTGCAGTATTGCCCAGACATCATTCATTCATTCCACAAATATTTGTTGAATCTAATATGTGTCCTAGGAAATACTGTAGGTGCTGGGATATAAGAAAAAATTACAGGGGAAAAAAACTGTCCTCGTGGAACCTACATTCTAATGGGAAAGACAGCCAAAAAAATGTATATATAGCACATCAAGGGATGCTGCGTACCATGGAGAAAAGCAAGTCAGGAAAGAAGAAGTGCAATTTTTTTAAATCCTCATCAAGGCTATGTTTCTGTTGATTTTTAGAGAGAGAAATACTGATGTGAGAGAGAAACATTGTTCCGTTGCCTCCCACATGCGCCCCGACCAGGGATGGAAACTGCACTGACTGGGAATCAAAATCCAAACTTTTTGGATGATGCTTCAACCACCTGAGCCACCCAGCCAGGGCGAGGTGCAATTTTAAATGAAGCAGTCAGGTGCACAAATCTATCTCAAGAAGGGAGAGTGGTCCTATGCTGCTTGCTAGTCAAAGTAGTGCAGAACTTAGATCTGAGCAGAGTTTAGCAACCTGTCCATCACTGGTGTCTTTGACTGACATACCAACTGTGTTTCTTGGTGATAGTCAGTGCTGGACTGTGGTCAGGGTTTCCCAAAGGTTCCTCATGTCACCCTGGAACCCTCATTCAGAGCCGGGAGGAATGCCAAGTGCCAGGCTGTGTCCTGATGTATGAAACGGGATAAAGAGCTTCTTCCTTAGATTATTATGAGGATTAGAAGGGGTAACAGCACCTAGCCTACTGCTGCCAGATGGGGGTGCTCACTACAGGCTGACAGCTAGCCACCATTGTTGAGCACTTCCTGTGTGTCACTCCCATGAATCCTCAGGCAATTCTAAGGGCAGGTTCGTAATTATCTCCATTGCCACCATGAGGGTGGGGAAGGCGGGCTTTAGAGAGGGTAAGCAACTTGCCCAAGCGGGGAAGCTAATTCAAAACCAGGTCTGTTTTAACTCTCAAGCCTGCAGCACCGGCCTACACCCCATGCTGCTCTCCCAAAGGGAACGACACTACACGATAAGGCGAGAGAAAACAGCTGGAAACGCCTCCATTGCAGGCTCTCGGGGAACGGGCTGGGTTCATTTGACAAAGAGCTGGAAAGTTAGTGGCTGACACTTAGATGGGGAGAAGCTAGCCACTGCCCTACCCGGTGCTGCCCACTCAGTGGAGAGGGGCTAGGGCCAGACTGTGCCGTCTCCTCCCCACCCCCAGGTCCTCATCAACCTGGCTCTGCTGGTTCAGGAAGCAGAACTTCGGGGGAGTCCCTCCGTGGCCATGTGGCTGGTCAATGGCTTCCAGTTACTCTATGTGGGTGATGCCCTCTGGCACGAGGTGAGCTTGGATTGCTCAGGGGAAGAAGGGGAAACTGCCTGAGGACCTTGTAGGGACTACAAGTGCGTCTGGGTCCTGTCCCTGCAGGAAGCTGTACTCACCACCATGGACATCACACACGACGGGTTTGGCTTCATGCTGGCCTTTGGGGACCTCGCCTGGGTACCCTTCACCTACAGCCTGCAGGCCCAGTTCCTGCTGCACCACCCACAGCCCCTGGAGTTACCCACGGCCTCAGTCATCTGCCTTGTCAATGGTCAGTCAGGAACGGGCAGCAGCCTGGGTGCATGCATCATTCTCCCTCCCCTTTCTTATGTTTTAATTGATTTCAGAGAGGCAAGGAGAGGGAGAGCTAGATAGAAACATCAATGAGAGAGAATCATTGATTGGCTGCCTCCTGCACGCCACACTGGGGATAGAGTCCACAATCTGTGTGCATGTGCCCTGACCAGGACTGGAACTGTGACCTCCTGGCTCATAGGTTGACACCCAACCACTGAGCCACGCCAGCTGGTCTCGTTCATTGTTTATTCAGCACCCACTAGGTAGGTGCTAAGCATCACGCTCTTCTCCAAAGCTGGGGCTGGTCCTGGGGTCCAGGCAGACTGGGCTGAGGCTGTGTGGGGATGAGCAGGGTCAGGCAGAAGGCTGTGGCCCTCAACCCTGACTGCCTGCTCACGCTTTCCCGCAGCTGTCGGTTACTACATCTTCCGTGGAGCCAACTCCCAGAAAAACACCTTCCGAAAGAACCCTTCTGATCCCAGAGTGGCCGGTGAGCTGTGTTTCTAGGTTGCCAGGTGTGAGGTGGGGCAGCGGGGCTTCCTGGGGGTCACCCACCCCACTACCTGTCTTCCCCCAGGCCTTGAGACCATCTCTACAGCCACGGGGAGGCAGCTGCTAGTGTCTGGGTGGTGGGGTATGGTCCGCCATCCCAACTATCTGGGAGACCTCATTATGGCTCTGGCCTGGTCCTTGCCCTGTGGTGAGTAGCTTGGGTAGGTACTGCATGGGGGGGTGGGGGGGGCAGATGGATTAGAAACCACAGGATTCCCAGTCTGGGTGGAGAATGAATAGGGGTGCGCCTTAGTGGAGGGAGTAGTCAGGGGGCTGGAGATGGACTCAGGATGTGACTGGGACAGACAGCACTGTTGGCACCTTGCTGCAGACCCGGGACCTTTCACTATTGAGCCTTGATGCCCATGAGCTATTAGGTATGGAAACCTTTGTGAACTGGGGGTCTGGCTGAGTGGTCACAGAGCCCCCCTTCCCCACAGGGGTGTCCCACCTGCTGCCTTACTTCTACCTCCTCTACTTCACTGCGCTGCTGGTGCACCGTGAGGCCCGGGACGAGCAGCAGTGCCTGCAAAAGTACGGCCTGGCCTGGCATGAATATTGCCGGCGTGTGCCCTACCGAATTGTGCCTTATATCTACTGAAGTGGCTCCACCCACCCAAGGTCGGAGCCCGTACCCACCCATCTGCCAGCACACCCTGCAACAGGAGCCTGGACCGTCTAGGACTCAAAAGCCTACACCCAGTCCTGCCGAGCTCCAACAGGCAGGGATGACAGCCTCAGAGCAAGGAGAAAATGAAGGCAGTGGCCAAAAACGGAGTGGAGGTTGCTCTTCCTTCTTGGATAAACATCTGGAACCCTTGGTGCCACTTCTCTCCCTTTCTGGGACAGGGGTGTTTAAATCCTGGCTGGGTCAGCCCTGATTAGGGAGAGGCTGAGAGGTTTGCGGGCCCAAGAATCTGCGGGTGGGTGGGCACAACAGCCGTCTCTCAGAAACGGGCACTCCCAACAGGTCAGACCATTCACAGGTTTATTGATGACAAGGAGCCCACAGTTCAGCCAGGGAGTTCCTCAATGAGTGTCCTCGGGGCAGGTGGCAGGGGACCTCCCCAAAGCCGCTCCAGCTCCCCAGTGAGGGCTGCCACCTCTTCCGCCGCTACAGCGTGAGCTCGGTGGGCCCTGGCACAGTCCAGAGCCAGGGCTGGGAGGGCCACCTCATTCTCGTTGGTCCAAGCCATCAGGAACTGGCACTTCTTTCGGGCCCGGTAGAGGCGATCTCGCACCTCAGTAGCCTCGGCCCGTTTCCGGGCCCGGCCCAGAGTCTGCACCAAGTGCCCCAGGGCTGCCAGCGTGTAGCCCTTCTGGTTGGCAGGGCCCTCGCCCAGCAGGATGCGGGCGGCCTCGCGCATGGCACCCCGTGTGCCCAGGGGCCCCGGGGGATGCTCGCCCGCTTCAAGCACGTGAGCGGCGGCCTCCAGGGCTTCTTCGGCAGAGGCAAAGGCCTGCTGGGCACCCAGGGCTCCCGAAACGCCGAGCAGCGTGGCACAGAAGTCGGTGAGCAGCGCATCGTCGCCGCCATGATACAGGACAAGGGTGTGCGCATAGGCGAACAGCACGTTGGGCAGCTGGAAGCGTACGAGCGGCGAGACTCTGCCGCGGCTCAGGCTGGCCAGCGTGGGGATCCGGGCGGGCACAGCGGGCGGGCAGGCCCCCGGGGCGTCTCCGAGAGCCGTCTCCGCGGCAGCGGCATCCCTCGCGGGTTCTGACGGCGCCTTCGCAGGGTCGGGCTCCAGCTCCGCGGGCTCCGCGGGCTCCCCGCCCGGGGTATCATCCAGCTCCTCCAGAAGTCGTGGCCCGGCCCCG